TCTTACTGAGGCAAAGTTTCATGGTAATTGTGGTAGCATCGTGGTACAACGGCCTTCAACTCAAGTAGATGTTTATACTGGTTGGCAGTTATCTTCAATCTGTCCAGCAGTAACCGTCATACACATGGTGTTCAGCTTTCTTGGTCCTTGCAGCGCCTGCCATCCATCATCAAAGTTCAGATTGTACTGGATTTTAAAGACTGGAGTGTACTTTGATGCCTGCAAGTCAGTGACAGTAGGATCGCCTGCTTTTCTCCCTGGACGGATTGTTTAGTGCTCTCCGACCTTTGCGAAATCCTTGAAAAAGCTGTGGTCCAGGTACATAACTTCATAAGGCCTGGGGATGCGTCTGGCCTTGAGCATGATGTTCACGTAGTCCATTGAGATGTACATCAGTGCGTTTGTTAGCGATCGCTCAATAGTGCCATGGACTGAATCCACTTCCATTTGGGTATGGCCCTTGGGGAGAATTTCTGCTCAACTGTGATGTCAAGCTCTTTGGCCAGCGAGGCCATTGCACTCACCAGGGTGACTTTCTGTTTTAGTAGTTGCGCCAATCACTGCAGATGATGAAGTGGTTGAAGTCAGTCACTTGCAATATCAGTTAGTGAGTCAGACAAGATGAAAACTGTTGAAGCCCAGACCAACTTCACTTTCATACCAGACATATCATCTGGCGTCTCTGGTGGCAAGATCCTAAGTCGTAACATTGAGTACAGCCAGTTTTGTTTTATATAAGGTGGAAGTCTTTAGTGATGAGGCCAGAAGGACGCACTGGATCTCCATACAAAGGACACACGCAGCCTCCCTGTCCTTCTCCTTCTCTGGTCTAGCGGCAGCTTTCCTCATATTCATATTTGAGCTGTGTGTTCTGTTTCTGTGAGGTTTCCAGATTTGAACTTTGTACAAATGTCGCACTGGTCTTTCTTGGTTGAAAGTAAACCCAAATTGTTTTTCTTGAACTTTTGGCAGAACACTTGATAGCGCAATGTGGCTTTCACTCTCTCTGCAAAGTTCTCCATGTATACTTGATGCAGATCTGACGTTTTCTGGATTGTCATCTGTAGACAGGAGGATATCTTCGAAAGTTTGTCAAAATATTCCTCTTTATGGAACAACTTGTCATCCTTGGCTCTCTCATGATGGGCGTGATGGACCTCTTGGTTGTTGTTTTTTCGAAGAAGACACTTCAAATAAACCAGTGGGTCAGGCCTGTGGTGTTCTTGAAGATTGTTTTACAAACAGGTGTTCTTTGACCATTGACTCTTGTAAGTGGCTGTAATTTCTCCTTGGGTTTTCCCCGTGTGTAAGATCTCTTTTTGTCTATCATGTTTATCGTGGCATATACGTAGGCGCTCTTATCTTTCAAAGAGAGTGACCAGTGATGTCATTGCATTTTGTACCAACCAGTTTACACCTGCAAAGTTCACACCCTGCTCGCTTTGTGCCTTGACATGACGTGTAGAGGCATCCCCAGTTCTTTCAACCTCTTCCTTTTGTTACCCTTCCAATCGTTTTCATGCCGTGTCCTTTTCGCAGAGATCAAAGGTGACATAACTGTTGTATTATCAGCTGATGGGACATTAGACTGGTCACGTTGATCACTTTCCACTGCGCTGAGGGTAAGAGGTGACGCAGCAAGAGTGGCATCATCTTATTGAATGTTATAGCGTTATGTAAGCTAAGGTTTGATATAAAGATAAAGCATTAGGTTATGACACTGAGAAAATATTCTACTCAAAACACAAACGAAGTGAACTTTCAAAGAAAGTCGAACGATGTTTCAGAAGGTAATGACTGCAATAAACACAGCAAATGAAAAAAAGAAAAAGAAAAAGCGCTTTAAAAATCAACGATCGTTGGGGGCAGACGGTGTGCTGGACAGGTCCCATAATTTTATTATTTTTTTGAGTGAGTAAAGGAGGAAATGCTATCTACTTCGTCCAGTCAATTGTGAAGGAAAAATGATTAGGAGAAGAGACAGTAGTCCGAATAGGGGAAAATGCCTTCACAATCGGTGAATTTCGAGTACAAAGACAAAGAAAAACACGCGGACAGAAAACATAGTTTCATATAAAACAAAATCCATAAAGATGCATTTCAAATACCGGAATTGTCACGAGATAAACAGTTCTGTGGGAACAGTGGGGAGTTTTAGTCATTAATAACGTTATCAGCAGCATTAAAACGAATAAAAAAGAGGAAACAACCAGATCTATATAACTCCCCAGTGAAATCAACAAGAAATATTACAAAAATATTCCTTTTTGGAGAGCTCCCACGGTTATGTGAGCAAATTCTGGACTATTACAGGTCTGAATCTGATGTCAAACTAAGTCCGGAGAGGAGTCGAAACCGGGATTAGTTGGTGACGTAGCAAGTGGCCCCTCATTGTTAGCGCGATAAAAACAGCCAACACTCATTCCGTCCCTCGCAGGTGGGATAGTAGGAATTATCGGGCTAAAATCCGATGGGTGCCGGGTTATACGGTTTTATTTCTAATGTTTTAAAGACATTTCTAGACAAAATTCAGATCTGTCTTTGAGTGAGCATATGAAATGGACAATTTACTATCGATAGGGCAAATAAAACGTTTTTTGATATTTTGTGGGTTAGACGGTTTTATCCCAGGCCGACGATAAGCAAAAGTATTAAAGGGTAGGAAAGAGAAGTTATTCTTTTTTATCGAAAAGCAATCTGCCCGTGGTCTCCGAATGTAGCAGTCTGGTTTGTAGAGCTCTATTATATTCCTGGTCGAGCCAAACTTAGATTTAGACACAGTCGACTTCCCTCGCTATGGCCAAGTTTATGTGTTTAAGATGCTGCTTGCTGGTAAAGGTCAATACGATGTCTCTTAACAATACTACCTCCTATCTCAATTTCCTATTAATCTCTAGATTAGCTTGTAATTCCCTTTCTTTTTCCTTCCAAATGGGGTATTACCTTCCCACAATGAAAGAAAAAATGTTCAATGAAGTCATGCACCCCGCAATACTCACAATTTGGCCATTCTTTCATTTTCATTTTGTGATAAGTGGGGAAGATGTTCTGAAATGTCTTCCATGTAATGGTATTTAGACGAGTTTCGCACAGACCATGAACGATGTCTTTGTTTTTGTTTTATTTTTAAGTGGGGTTAAATTTTATGTTGTATGTTCAATACGCCATATTAACATAAAGGTGGAGTCTGTTGTTGTTTTTTTTCATCATACACTGTTTTCCATTCTATTTTCTCACGACTCTTATCTTTGAAGAGAGAAGTACCGTCACTTGCGACGGTGGAATACCCGGGACGGTTCTTATTGCATTTATGAATAGGCTATGTTCTAATAAACTGTGGGCATATTGGTCATTTCAAAAGTATATTCGTTTAGATTCAAAACTCGCCCTTCGACAGTTACATCATGTATTTTTAATATTCCTCTTTATACACAGGATGGAAGGATGATGATCTCATTCCTATATTTTACGAGCATTATTCACCGAAGGGACATCAAGTGAACAATTGTCTGTGTACTGCAGCCATTTTTGTAAGGATCTCTTGCAGAATGGACTGGGGATCGTATTCATTCCTTGAAAATTTTTTTACAGAGACCTTACTCTTACGGACATGTCGTAAGCCACCAAGATCCGTAAAAAACACTTGACAATGCCCCTCTATTGTTTTTGGCTGGTTCAAAGAGCGCTTATGCCCATGCCAAAAGTACTGAATCTGGGAACAAATTGTGTCTAGCGTCCTCTTTTCCCCGTTCTCGTAATCATTACAGAAAACTCCACATACAAACAACCAAACAACCCCTTTTATCAATCTTTTATTGGTCTTATACAACACACTGTTTGTTAAGGAAATGCTTTGCATTATAGGCTAAAGTTGAACTGTGTTAAGAAGGCCTTAGTTGATTTCCGTTTGGGGAGACCTTTTATCCAGTATCTCGGTCTTTTTACCGGGATGTTTTATCCCTCTCAGCCAGGCAGGGTCAAAATCAGTCTCTTAAATGATCTAAATCTTGGGGCTTAAATTACGCGGGGGCCGTTGAAGGTAGAGTCTGGGAGAGCCTGGGCTGCATCAAGTTTTCTACAAAAAAGGTGTCAAGTATTAAAAGGTACAAACTGATTTAATCTACTCAATCTTTATCAATTCCAGTTCAGAACATAAAGTTTTTTTTCAGAACACAGGCTGTTAGATACCTGGCCGCAACTCTTCGCCTTACACACCCAGCCACATTTGACGTCACCTTACTGGTGGTGATATAGTGAGTTTTTGGGGAGTGCTCTGGTGTGGTTTGGCTCTTCTTTCCCATCAAACATCTATCGTCCTCACCTTTCTTCCTTTTTTGTGTTTGTTACCGTCTTGTAACACCTCTAATCTTCGGCACTTTTATAAAGAGTTTTACGGCACTAGCAACAAAATAAGTTCATATAATCAAACAGACAGACAAAACAAAAATAAATCTTACATTAGCTCTGCTAAATTGATAAAGTAGGGGCTATACAATATCACCCTGGGGTCTTCACCTAGCCAGCGGGCTGCGAGATCAAAACTGTTAGTTTCAGTAGAGTTTTTACGGCGCTCGAAACTGCATAAGGTCATATGAGCGCCAAGGGGTGGATGTCAACAGAGAAGTCCATACAGGAAGTCAGGCTTACTCGCTCACCTCTCAAGCTTCAACAGCACAACGTCTGCTTCGACTATTAAGGCATCCCGGAAATAACGGGTCACAAGAGAGTGACAAACATACTAAAAAGTAGAGGAAAATGACAATAGTAACTTGTAAAGATTAGGAAAGAAAAAGCAGCAGTTCCCCGTATGCCGTTCAGGCACAGTTATGAGCATGACGTTGATGAATCAGCCCATTTACAATTCAACTGAGCATAAGAACTATGGCAAAATGTCTCCCTTTTGGGAATGGCCTTAGGACATTTCAGTCAGTAGCACCGCCCCGGGGGTCATCAAAACAGTTGAAGTGGAGCGTATAACATGTACATTTTCCACTCTGCAGATGGTGTCCATCAGTATGGGCGTGCTGGCGATCGCGTGCCAGTTCGCGCACTACTTCACCGACCACTCGTCGATGATGGTCCTGGCCTGTCTGCAGGGCCTGTTCGGCGGAGCGCGCCACAACCTGCAGTCCGTCATCCTCATTGACTACCTGGGCGTGGAGCGGCTGGCCAAGGCTCTGTCCGTCAGCATGGTGGTGATGACTCTCACCATAGCTCTCAGCCACCTCATCATTGGTCAGTTGGAGTGTGTTTTAAATTCTAAAAGTTTCATTTCATTTTATTTCATTTTATTTATAGGATTATTTGTATGCATCATCTTAATTAATTGGTTGATACGTGCTCTGGTGTGGTTCGCTCTTTCATATTTTTTTAAAATATATATCAAATATCTATTGTAGCTATCCCCCCTCATCCTTTTCTGTTTTTGTTAATCTCTTGTAACACCTCTAATCTTAGGCACTTAAAATTATGTGTTGCAAGTGCCGTTACACGTATTCTAAAACAAATTTGCACACATTGTAGGCCTATAATTTACATATTATATTATAATTATTATTCGACCTGTACTTTCTTACTTTTCTATGTACGTACATGTACATGTGTTACTTATTTGACGTTCGGGTGTTTGGAGGCCTTACTTCTTCACTGTCGCTTAGTTGTTTTGGTGTATTGCTCGTGATTTGTTTCTTATTCTCACGGGAACAGATCAGACGTTGGTGCCATATTTTTTGTGCACTGTTCCCAGCCGGGCGGCTGCCACAATAACAAGTCCTACCTCTTTTCTTTCCCTCTTCTGTTTCTGTCTATGTTGCGTTTCCCTGTACTGATTGCCTGACCTTGTGTCGACGTGTTTTTAAACGAGCAAATGAATTATTATTGGGCAATTGAAAGGCGCCACTTGTAGGTCCTTCTTCTTTTCTTTCCTTCTGTTTTTACCCTGCACTAAATGACCGTGATTTTGTCGATGTGCTTCTCTTAACCTCCCGCGGCGGTGCCACTGACTGAAGTGTCCGTCATTCCCAAAGGCTGGGGGGAGGGGGGGGGGGGCATTTCTCGTTCTAATGCACAGTAGAATTTTAAATGGGCTGATCCAACAATGGCATGCTCATATTCCTGAACAACAGCAGGGAACAGCTGCTTTTTCTTTTCTAATCCTTACTATCGTCATTTTCCTCTACTTCTTTTGTATGTTTGTCCCACTCTTGAGACCCGCTATTTCCGGGATGCCTTGATAGTCGAAGCAGTCTGATTCCCTGCAAGGACTTCTCTGTTAACATCCACCCCTTGGCGCTCATATGACCTTATGCAGTTGCGAGCGCTGTAAAACCTCTACTAAAACAAACATAACCTAAACTTTGCTACTTCTGTCCTATTGTTTGCTGCTCTCATGCGACGCCTCTAATCATCGGCACTCTATTGACCTAATTGTGTTCAAAGTGCTGCAAATCTATCACTAAAACTATAACAAACTCGTTACCGTTCCGTAGATGAAAGTATGACATTATCATGTTTCGTTGAACTGTCGTCAGGTGGCCTAGAGGAGGCTACAGGTGAATTCGACGCTCCGTTCTACTACATTAGCGCCATGTTGACAGTGTCCAGTCTGGTCTTCCTGACAGAGCCTCTGTTTAGGAGGCTGGACCAAAGGAAACAGATGGAGAGGGTGGCCGCAGTGTAGGAGGCTGGACCAAAGGAAACAGATGAAGAGGGTGGCCGCAGTGTAGGAGGCTGGACCAAAGGAAACAGATGGAGAGGGTGGCCGCAGTGTAGGAGGCTGGACCAAAGGAAACAGATGGAGAGGGTGGCCGCAGTGTAGGAGGCTGGACCAAAGGAAACAGATGGAGAGGGTGGCCGCAGTGTAGGAGGCTGGACCAAAGGAAACAGAACCAAAGGACACAGATGGAGAGGAAGGCCCCTGTATGGGAGGCGGGACTAAAGGAAACAGAGGATGAATGACCACCGTGTAGGACTCTGAATCGAAGGAAACAGATTGATGGACTGAACCAGAATCATGTTTAACACCGCCATAGACACGATTCAGATCACCCAATCATGCCAGTCAGGGCCAATCTGAGACAGACAGGAGAAAGTATCTCAATAGAAAAAGTATCTCAATAAGCAGCCAGAGATGCTTGGTAAAAAGTGGATCGAACGGTCTTCTGCATGTAAAAGCCAAGAGCCTTATATCTGTACACCATAGATGCCTTATTTTCAGGATTGTGAGAAAGAGGACAAAGATTACCATGCATGAGTGTTCTATATGATGGATGTTGTATTCATTAAGTATGTTTGTAAGCATGGCCGGGATTTTAATTAATTTTTTTTTTTGCAGGGGGGGGGGGGGGGTAGAGAGACAGAGATACTATGCATTGTTGTCCGTTTTGTACTCTCAAAATAATAGTGACACAAAGATCCACAGAAGATATATTTAATTATGTCAACTGGAACTAGAATGCAAAAGTATACAGTTGCTGCTCAATCTTTCATTTTTTTTAAAAATGGCCTTCGTGTTTTTTTGCCCCTATCCACACAATTTTTAGGTAATGTAGGGGGATAAGAGGGATACAGCATCCCAGCAAAAAGACCGAGATGCTAGATAAAAATTCTCCCTACACAAGAACCGAACTGGGGTCTCCTATAAAATACAATGGGGAGAGTAGTCTTTGTTTTGCTGTTTTACGGTGCTCACAACTGCATAAGGTCATACGAGTACGCTGGATACATTAACATGTATTTTCAATTTGGTAAAAATTTTGAATTTTGCCCCGGTGGCGGCCGAAGCCTACTACTACTAGTATAGATTTTTTGACCACTAAGGCATCTTTAATGAGCACAACTTGCACATGGGACCTCCGAGATTTTTCGCCCCTATCCGAGAAGGCGAGGTTTTAGATCTTTTCTACCAAAAGATCAGTGGTGAGGCTGAAAGACAGCAGGAAGGAGCCAAGGAGTACTAGAGATAAAAGGAGAACATTTTAGAGTAGAAAACTTTCAGTTGCTGTCAGGTTTCGAAACCAAGACCTATTGAATGAGAGACAAACATCTTAACCTCTAGACCAGAAGAGCCCCCTCGGAGAGTAAGAAGTAGTCATTTGTACAGGTGATTGTCTTGGACAGTCGAGGCGTCATTTAGAGCAGGTTCTACTCTGTATAAGTTGTAAGTCATTAGATAAGAATTACTGTGGGGACAACGATGATGAAAAAAGCAGAAGAAAAACAAGTTTCTTAATGAATTGTAGGCCTAGGATCTTTATTCATGTTGTTCTACTTTGTGACACAGCTGGACAGTAAAAAGATCTCACATCCGTCTTCATTCAAGGGGGGGAAAAAAACTCAGGAACTAAAATCTATATATAATATTATATATATATAAGTAGAGAGAGAGAGAGAGAGAGAGAAAAAACTTATTCAAGAAACTATTATGAGCTTTCTATAATTATATAGTGAATGGTGACTTATGTTACAGGACTCTCTGATACAATAGAAAAAACAAGAATTGTACTGTAATAGAATGAGAATTTAAATAGCTTTATACAAAACGAAACGGTAACATATATATTATATAGGGAATGTGCGTGATTTGACTTCAAGACTGACTGAAGACGAACAACGATAATCATGATGATCCAACTGAAGATATTTGTACAGAGATACATGAAATGAAAACATAAAATTATGTTTAAAAAAAGGACACCATAGACCTATGTACACTGTCGTATAACATTGTCATATCAAAGGACTGTGACTGACAGGAATGGCAACAGAGAAAACCAGAAACTTCATTCTGTGGGTTCGAAGGGTGATTTCATCAAATTTGCAAAGGACACTAGAGGATAAATATCAGCTTTTTTAGGTGTGTTCCAAGAAAGATTTGTTGTGCACATTTTCTTTACTTAATTTTCATGAGGATTTTTGTAATAAAAATATTTTTACGATGTCTTGCTATTGTGTTTAATAAAGTGGTGAGACCTTTCAAAATTGTTGAAAAAAGGACCAAATTGCCTGCACGACAGTACCTATACATACAGACAATTTACTTTTGACACTAGTTTGACCAATTAAGGAGGCAGGAACAAAAGGAAGAAACAACTGAGTATTTATGACATGGGTAGGAAGGGAGGCAGATTCCTGAGAATCTTCCTCTGTTACTTATCTCTCCCTCAATGAATACAAAATACAGATCTGAGTTATAGGAAACCGAGTAATGAAAGTCAGTCGTACTGGCAGAAAGAAAATAAAACGAAAATCACAAGAAAGCACCAGATTTTTGCTTAACAAAAGATCACTATCTTTAACAAAAATAGTAAAAATATACAAGTTAAAAAAAAAGCACAATAGATCTAATTACACAGCAGGCTGCAAAACAAGTGAAGTTGAGCATACACACATTCTCTTTTTTCTGCACACAAGCTCTGCTATTTAGTATGTCAAAAGTAAGTGCATTTCCCACCCTGTCTCTCTCTCACCCCCTTCTCTCTCTCTCCACACACACACACACACACACACACACACCCACTTAAATCTCTCTCACCATCTGTACATTCACAAACCTCAGTGGGGATAACAAGAGAAGTTATCAAAGAAAGACGGCAAAAAGGCAGCAGGACAAGATCACAGGAGTCTCATTTTCCATTTTTCACTAAATTATAGTTTTTAATACCAGGCCAAAGGCCTCTATTCCATTAAAAAAAAAAAAAAACTTTTTTTATATTTCAATTGCGCAAAAATGTATTAATTACTACTATCATACAGTTTGCCTCTGTATTTTGTCTTTAAAATAACGCTCACTACATTAAAACAACGTAAATAACACATTTTCTTATTTGGAAATCAAGCGAGCTTGTCCATCAAACCAGGAACTGACCATGTCTCTCTTGGGAAATCGAAAGTTGAAATAGGGTTTTTCGTGTTTTTTAAAGTTTAGTAATACGTGAAAAGATGGGTCCATTTGAATGGCATGCATCTTTTTAGTCCGGTCGGGTGACTCACCAGTCAGAGAGCTAAAAATGCATTAAATCAAATTTGGCAATGTCTACGCACAAAACAACAATGTAGAGAAAGTGTCATCAGAGTAGCTCATGTTGGAGAACATACTACAGAATTGCTATCAAATCATTTCTGCTTTGGTGGACAGGTGAACGAACACAAAATTTCCAGTTAGTCTGGATGAGTTAAATAAATCTGACGACAAATGGGCAGAATCCCACTCTCGAACAGAAAAGAATTCAATTACAGAAAAGGTCTTTCATGTACCAGTCTTATCATTTGGTCAACGTGCTAATCCCCACCTGGGCCACTGGGGAAGCAGCAGCAGGAAAATGGTTAGAAAAAAGAACGCACCTCGGCGATTTATCCACAGAACACCTCAATGTGAGATAGACGGTAAATGTGTCACACCTCCCCCCCACAATTAAGACAAACACCCTTGTAGAATTACGGAGAGGCTCAAAAAAAAATAAAAATCCTCCCAATCAAGTAACCAAATTCACATTTTTGAGTGCAAGACAAAGAGCCCAATACATAAAGACCACAGACATTGCCACTCTCTATGAGACTCTTCAATTCTTTTACAGCTAGGTGTATACTATAATCACAGACAGTGAGCACTCTGGAAATATCTGATCAGTAAATGCACAGCAAGTCAGCAGCAGGAGGTAGAGAGAGGGGGTGTAGGGTATATTTTACAGCAACAGAAATTTTTTTTCCCCAAGTTCTCTAACCCTCTTAACAAAGACAGTCATCACACACTAGCAGAGACTAGGGCTGCAAGTTTAAAAAATCCTTCCCTAACTAAATGTTTTGAACTTGTCTCCTCTACAATTATATTTCAGACACGGAGCTGACTCTTCCTTAAACATTGAAAAGGATTGATACCTCTCAGACATGTTAGCTTTCTTTTAAACAACACCTGTCCTACAGTTTTCTCAAAATAAAAAAGCAGACAGTGTACACACTTGTTGCTAATATCGGCTCTCACATTCAAACACGTTTTGCCTCTAGTCGGCGACTCTTGTTAATATACTACACCAAAAAGCAAATAAGGGTTGAAGGTTAACAAACTCGGCCCAACAATGTTAACAACTTGACCCATGAACTAATCAATCTCTCCACAACTCAGACTTGGTCCCTCCCCCACCTCCTGCTGGCATTATGTCATAACGCTGTCTCATCCGTCACTGTGTTGTCGATGGCCAGAGAGTAATCTTCATCCTCCGAGATTCTGTCCATCTCAGGCGCAACAGCTCCGCTCTCGTAGCGAGTCATCTGCTCCCGGCACTCCTCCTTGACTCGGGTCAGCAGGCGTTGAAGTTCGCGGTTCTTCGGTGCCAGTCTCAACGCTTCTAGCAGGTCTTGCTCGGCAGCAGAGTATTGTCTGAAATGAGTATTGTGTAAAACAAATTTATTCATTGAGTTATGATATCAGTCTTAAAAAGGGTGCTTGAATCCCATAAATTCCTTAGTAAATGCATGACTATACAACACGATGGAATCAGGCGTTCGTCAATTTTTGGTGTCATCATAAAGGTTGTTTATTAGCCTTGCTTTCCAAGAAAAAAACTTTAATTTATCTTGAATAGAAGCAGTGGCGTGGCGCAATTGGTGCTCTTCACAGCACCAATTTAGTGCAAGCTAAAATTTTTATCCAAGTATCCGCGACCTATCCACTACACTAGTACAGTCTACAGTAACTCAATGAAGAATGGGTATCGAAACGGTTGTCTCCCTCTATTGTGTAGCTGCACGAAGTAATTCGAAATCTTTAAATCTTCTCAGATTGTGAGTGTAATGAATTGTTAGTATTGTTCCATTTTATTGCAGCTTTTATGCGGTTTCATATAGATACAGTTGTAAATATCGATAGATGTAGATTACGGGATATCTTGCAGATTCTAATTGACTTTCTCTAAAAATCTTAATAGTAGCTACTAGATTGAAGCTTATCACCCATTTCTTCACTTTCCAATTATGCACCACCTAATCTGCAACCCACGCGACGCCACTGAATAGAAGTCGAGATATTTGCGATTGAAGGAGGTGGGGTTGCCAGGTTTCAGAAGTAAAATTATCGAGAAAATGCCTGCCAAAGTTCAGTGACTTCCACAGGTTAAGAATCCTTGGAAACTGCAAATTTACATTTTTGTGCCTTTGATCAATGTTTTTCGATAATATCCACACATAGATCTAAGTGTTTTTGAATTAACTCATTCGCTACGCCGAGCCGTGGGGGGCGGCGCGGCTCAAGTGCCGTCAGTACGTTAAGCCGCCCCCGGCGGCTCGAGAACCGACGTTCAATTTTAGCTTGGTTTCTATTCCAATCCACTTATCCATATTAAAAGAAAGGTCATAATATAATGTTGACTTCCGGGTCAAGCGTTTCCACCGAAAATCGGAAGTTTTGATTCAGTTTTGAAACATGATTTCGTAGTTTATTCGACTCTGTTTTATCGCGAAGCCCAAATTATAGCCCAGACACCAGTCTTAGTACTTTTACACAACAAAATGTATCATTATTTTGCTCACTAAAGAAGTGTAGGACTCTTCTTTATAATATTGATACTATTGGACGGTGCACTGTAATTGAGAAATCACTATTTTTGAGTGCTAGATCTAGGCCTAGATCTAAATAGTCAAAATATTTTTTTCTCCCCAAAATCACTACTTTTGGGTGAAATTAATCAAAAAGTACCACTCAAGACATGTATAGAGGTTTATTCCAAGTGCAATTCTGAATAATTCCATATAAGTTACGCGTATTTTTTTCTGTTTGTGATCCTTTTTTCAAAATTATTTTAAAAATTATTTTTTTTCAATATCGGATGTTATGATCCAAATGTACAAATATTATGGAATGTATGTAAATAACTGCACATTTTTCAATATTTTCCTGTTCTATATACATTTATGGTTATTTTGAGGTATCATTTGACTAGGTGCAAACATGTTTTTTTAGTTTCACCTGAGATTATAAATTTTTTATTTTCCAATTTTATCTGCATCCAATCACAATTGTGTTGCTTAATCGCCTCTTACAGGAACCAAAGTTGAAAAAATACGCAAATAAATAATGCAGGTGTATTCTACAAACCATACTGAAAATGTTGGTATATAATATGTTGATATTTATTTGAATTTATGGCCCCAAAGACCTGCGAACTGCGCACTAGTCATCATCTCATTTCGCCCTCCCGAAAAGAATTCGTCCACAAGCCGAAAATAATACGTAGCGAATGAGTTAACATACAAGGTGTTGAGCCAAAAAAAAAAAAAATTTCGAAAAAATGTCCCAAACTGGTATAAAAATGCCAATTTCTCAGATTTCATAATTTTGACAAGCGCAGCCTCACATATGACTTTACGCAAATTATCTGTTGAGATTATTTGAGAAAATGGCGATAGTGTGGGCGCCACTTTCAAACTGTAAGGCACTCCAAGAGATTAGGGACTTCCTAGGAAAGTCTTGAAAACTTCCCCAAATAAAGTTCACGCAGTGCATCCTTATCTTATTCCTTGGTTTTTATACTGTAAGAAATCTCCATGTAAAACACCCCTCATTTAGTCAATTCGGCTGTCATGACCTTAAAATTTAGTTTTGAGAGAGTAATTAAAGTGGTATCACTCGTCTCTCTCGTTCTCTCTCTCTCATCTCTTTCTCTCGTCTCACTCTCTCTCGTCTCTCTGAACTCTCGGCTTGTAGCCACATCAGTAACGATAAATGCAAGGTGCATTCAAAGACCTGTTTTTATTTCGTCGAAACTGTAATCTGGTGGATTTTGACTATCAAAACCCGCTCATCTTTCCTTTCCGAGGTTACTTTCTCTAATTTTTTTCCAACATCATCTGTTTCAATTGCTCGGCACACAGTACTTCAGTTGATTTGAAACTGTGAAGCAAGCATTATGTACCCTCCCTCCCAGAAAGGCTTTTCGTACAGGCCTACAAATATTATCCGGAAAAGGTGTAGGCTACACGACTGCCACTACTGCTATGATGATAAAATAATACTAAGACCATCATATTATAATTCCTTTCGACAGTCACTACACCCAGTGTCACTACATTTCACATACCTGTCGTCTCTCTTCGCACGCGCTCTTGCATAGTAGGCTTCAAAACAGTTCGGCCTCATGTCCAGTGCTTTGGTGGCTAGGTCCATGGCAGTTTGCAAGTCCTTGTAGAGTCAAGAGAGAAAGAATAATGTTTAAAGGAAGAAAAGATGGCTGTATGTTCAAACTGAATTTTTGTGGGCTGATAATTTTGATGTGAGGGTGAGAATAAGATAGATAATATGATACTTTATTGTCCCAGAGGGGAATATAATTCTATCGTAATGAAAAGAAAATCGTTATTTTGTTAGGTGATGTCTTGCAAATCCTGATGTCTTGCAAATCCCGAATTAGTGGACTCCCATGAAAGCTTCAGTGTTTGCATATTTATGAGAGTATGTGTATGAGTACAGAGCAAGAGTGTGTTATTTCATCTTTTAGAAGTCAACACAAAAGCTTACGTTCATTTTCCGTTTACACCGGGACAGGTTGAGATAAAAGTTGAGCTTGAGGTCGCGGAACGTCTGAGCCTCTTCTGGGCTGTTGTCTCGCGGGAACTTTTTCAAGGCGTACTGATATCTCTGACTGGCCTCTTTGATGCGATTTTTCTGAAGAAACGAGAAAAAGAAATAATGAATGAGGAAAAAAGAACATATGGGGTAAACTTTGCAGGTATCATCTTCCCCCAGTTTCCATGATTTGGCTATACTATACTTATTATAAATTACAAATTCACTATAACAAAATATCACATTGTTCTTCAGTACGGTTGTCAAATTGACCTTGGTTTGCATATTTCAGTTTCGAAACAGATTAATATTATGATCAACATCTACCCTGTCAAGTGGCATAACAAAAGGTTAAACGATAATAAACATTAAGTACCATAAAATGTCTTTAAAAAATGACACAGCAAATAAACAAACTTCAAGACGATATTCCTAACTCTATGCCCAAAAATTTACGAGCGCCTGATTCCACTGCGTTATGATACATATACGATACAAGCGGTAAAAACAAATAACATCTATCAAAGCAATGAAGGTTTTTCTGACAAAAGGTACCTTGTAGAGAATATTTCCATCCTCCATCAGCTTGTTGAGTAACAACAGCAGTACGTCTGTCTTGCCAGCTGCCATCGCCCAAGTGTCTGGGCCTGAGGACAACACAAAAACAGTTCTTTGCTTGATCACTATTTGTCAAAGTTTTAAAACTTTTTGAACATTAAGTAAAACATTTCTTGTCAGATCATCAATCTGAACTAAATTAAAAGACACATTCAAAATACACAAGCAACAGATGAAATTGTAAAGTTTCTTAAATCAAAGTTTTAATGATGAGAACAAAATATCTACACAATATATTAGAACATTTAGAACAGACAAAAAACGAGATAGGTAAACAAAACCAATACAGGGAATGGAAAGGAGTCCTAATAGCAGCACCTTTCTAACACCCATTTAAACATCCAATCATCCCCTCAAACATCCCTAAAATCCAGAAATACCCACCCAGTTTTGCGCCCTTCCTCAGGAAGCACACAATGACCGCTGTGTTGCGGCAGGCTATCGCTCGGTCCAGAGCTCTCATCCCGCTCATGTCGGTGTGCTCAATCTGGGCACCATGCTCCATCAGAAACTGGACCTGAAATAAACCAGGGAAGGAGGTTTCAAACTTATTTCTTCAACACTTGTTGCTACAAGGTACAAGTACAATATAAGTATGGATGTCAAAAGTCAAAAGTACTTGCTAGATATGAAGCTTAACTCCAAACACATCTCTGAAAGTACACAGAGCCAGATACAAAACCAATCTCACATACATTTCTACAATTGTAATTTTCATACTTTTGGATATGAAACAAAACATTTTTCACACTTTCTAATCAATAGATGTGAAATTTAAAAATGTATACATGACTGATGAACATATCATTGAATATATAGTACAAGTGAGAAATAAACTGTCTGTAACTTCTAGACTGTGTCCATTTACTTTACACAAGCATAATTTTAGAGCACAAAATAGGAAGAGAGAAAGAGAGACAGAATAAATGACAGATGGAAAGAAAAGAAGGTACTCTCCAACCATTCACTAAAAATTCAGTTAAATTTCAGAACAGTAATACTGTCTATTTACATGACCCTTGCAACTTTATCTCTCTCTCTCTCTCTCTCTCTCTCTCTCTCTCTCTCTCTATATATATATATATATGTATGTATGTGTCTTTTTTAAAAAAGGACAAAAGGGTTCCCTTACAATGTTAGCATCACCATAGAAGGCAGCCAGGTGCAGCGGGCTTCGTCCACTGTTGTCTGTGTGATGGACATTTGACCCTCGTTTGACCAGTGACTCCACACACAGCAGGTGACCACGCAGACATGACCAGCAGAGTGCTGACAGCCCCTCCTTGTCCACACTGGTCAGGTTGGCATCTGAGATAAACAACATGACAAACAAAATGTTATTTCTGTCACTTATAGTTATAGACTTCCCACATAGAGCAGAATCACATTGGGACATTTTATCCTACAAATGATAGCGAGAAAAAAAAAATCCCAAGAAAAAAAAGGTTACAACATACTCTGGTCTAGACTTTTTCATGACCATAAAAGATCAAACAATCCAGGTAGAACTCTCAATTAGACTGTGAGGCTGTAAAACTCATTCTGAAGACAAGCTACATACAAAATTAGAACTTACTACTAAGCTCAACCAAAGATCATTTGTGAGCCAGCGTGGTGAAATCAGGCGCTCGTCAAAATAACGAAATCAGAGAAAAAGACATTTTTCTGCCAGTTTGGAAGATTTTATTGAATTTTTATTTTTAGGCTCAACCCCTTTTAAATCCATATAAAAACACATTTCCATGTGAATTTTACTGAAAAACATTGATTAAAGGCACACAATACGTCATTTATCAGTTTTGAATTACTCTTTAGCTTTTGAAGTTATCAAACTTTGGCGGCCATTTTCTCACTTATCTCACCTCTGAAACCAGGTGACATCCCCTCCTTCAATCGAAAATATTTTCACTTCTACTCAAGATAGATGGATATTTAGTTCATTAGAAGCAAGGCAAATGAAACAGCTTTCAGATACCAATTACTCCAAATGCTCAAATATTGACGGGCGCCTGATTCCCCCGCGCCATACCACATTTCTCAGTGCCAGGTGACTGAAATTTTTCACTACCATTATCATCATAAAATAACTCACTTTTGTCCAGCAGCAAGTTGAGCACTCCGATATGACCCTCTCCAGCTGCTATCATCAGTGGTGTGCGGCCATATTTATCAGGCGTCTCCAGCTCAGCACCAGTGGCCAATAGCGTGTCGGCGATCTCCCAGCGCCCGGACTTTACGGCACACAGCAGCGGGGTGAACGACTTGCTGTTGGCCAAGGTCACGTCAGCTCCCGACTCCAACAGGAAGTGAACAGCGTCTTTCCTCCCATGGAGACAGGCGGCAGTTAAAGCTGGGAATAACAATCAAATACAGTAACTTAACCAACCAAATAGGGTCGAAATAGTTCAAGGCGGCCTCCAATTGTCAAGGACAGGAATGGTTGTCATAGTCCTGGGCAGTCTCATAAAAATATGTAGGCTATATATAACAAAAGGCAAGGGGGCAAGTGGTAATTTTTTCAGATAATTGTCTTTAACAGGTTAATTTCTTCCTCTTCTTCTTCGCTCATTTTACACAATAAATCATGATTTGTCATTAAAAGAATTTAATGTAATTTGTTTTATTTTCTAACTCTTTCTCTCACTCTAACCACAGTCTCTCTCTCCTTCTCTTTCTGTACACTTTAATACTCTCATCTCTCTTCTTTATTTCCCTTTTACGAGTAGTCAGTTAACTGATTTCAGGCGCCCGCACTTACCTGTCTCAGCAAGGAGTGAGTCGATGAGATTGAGCCTGGACCCACTGTATGCCTGGTGCAGGTACTCCAGGATCTGTGGACACAGGTGGCAAAAGTTAAACCTGTTTCGTTCGTTTTTGTACAAGCTTAATGTCCTTAGACACTGATAAATCATTTTTAAGATAACTGGACACAAAGATCAGTAAGTATAAAGATGCCACCCTTGTATGATGGTGGATAATCAGAAGTCAAACTTTTGGTTTGGTGTGACCCTTAGCATGGGTGATACAGCTACATGGAGAGAAAAAAAAGCAACTACATTTCAAGTGAAAACAAGCAAAGGACGTCTTGTGGACCATAGTTTAGGGAACTTGGGTTTATCATACAGTCCCATCCATTATACAAAAGCCTTTACTCTAATTTGTTGAAAAAAATAACTCAAAACTGTTAGTAAGCAAAGCGACCACCCCCCACCCAAAAACAACCCCAACCCACACCCCCCCCCCCCCCCCCCCCCCCCCCAAGATATAGGTTTTGTTCCTCCAGACTTCTCACTGACCTGTCTGTTGCCGGTGGCAGCGGCTGCGGTAAAGCACTGTGTGATGGCCTCGTCTCGGGTTGGTTCACCAGTGACCACCGGCCAGTTGAGCTGCAGCATGAAGATGAGAGAGTCCAGCTGACCATGGATGACCGCATGGACGGCCGCACACTGGCTCTGGTTATCCTGGGCCGAGAGCTGAGAGGGGGAAAAAAGGACAAGTTCTCTCATAAACTGTTTTTTGTTTTAGTAAGTGTTTTACGTCATTTGCAACACAATTTGGTCAATAAATGCTAATGATTAGAGGTGTTACAAGTGAATTGAAAACGCGAAAAAAGGTGGAGGAGAGAAATTGATATATGTAAGAAAAAAAAAGAGTAGTAAAACCGCACCAGTCCACCTGCCAACGACCCACAATTAGCTTCTCTACCTGTCAGTTCCAGAAAAGAAACAAGTACATTAGTTATTTTTTTCTCCCTCTTCTCCTGGAAGCAAAGGATGTATTTAGAATGACTGTAACAGGTCATTGTTTTAACAACTCTAGTACAGATCCACCATTAAGAAATAGAACCAGGGTCATCTGCTCCGACATCCAGCATGATACCAACTAAGCTAACTGTGCACTCCACAATTTCTTTTAAAGGACAATGTACTGTAATTAAAACATTTCCACTTCAAACGTACTGGCCATCTATATATATCACTTACGACACTGAGCACTACAGCAGTGACTCCATCCACAGAAGAGACCATTCAGAGAGATATGGAAATGTAAAGAAAGTATATCAACACAAAAATGGCCATTTACTGCATTAACCCTGTACGTCCTGAGCTCCTGATGCTACCACATGCCCCTCTTCCTGAGCTCCTTACATCAGTAACATTCATATGATCATGTTATTTCTCGTTATTACAAGCATCTAATTCAGAAAGATCTTCAAAATAATAATCAGTAATGCCCTGCGTAGTAAACACAGTTTCCAGTGTACATTTTATCCCAGGCGGACCAGTTTGGGGATAGGGTCTGGCTCACAGCTATAGGGATACAGGCAGTTTTAAAAAGCTAGATAGACATTTATAACATTGTTTATATCTTAAATGTAAATGAAAGAAAACGAAAGAAAAAACACTCACCCTTGCATTCTGCAGACACAACATCCGCATGACCTCCCTGTGTCCGGCGGCAGCTGCGTGGCACAGAGCGGTCATTCCCGTGTCTGAGGCCGCGTTAGGGTCAGCACCAAACTCCATGAGCAGTGAGACCATGTCGGCGAAACCCTCCCTGGCCGCTACACACAGGACCGGGGCGTTCGCCAGGTAGTCTGTCTTTGTGTTGGGGTTACCACCAGAGAGAAGAATCAGTCGGCTCACCTGTGCAAATGTAAAGAATTTTTGTAGTAAAACATTCACTAAAATAACGTGTACACCAAAACATCACATTTTAAAATGAATGCTCACCTGGAGGTGAACCCTCCCCCCGAAAACAAATATACAACCC